GGCAGTTAGGGGTGAATGTGACCATCTCCTCTGCCTTCACCACTGAAATCGGAAGTATTTCTTTCTCGGGGCTCTCAGGGAATTGTGTTACTCTCTCATGTAAAGTTAAGAGATGTGGTTCTACTTGTGTCTGCTCTGGAGGAAATGGTAGCAAGTGAGATATGATGAGCGTTCCAACCAGAATGCAGCTAGAACAAAACAAGATGCTCTGGAGTTAGAGCATTTTTCTATTTTGAGCAAAACAAATAGTAGAACTTCACGTGTCACTGTCATGTTACAGAGGCATTATAACAGCAGCTTTAGTGACTGATGCCATAGTGGGGGAGGGGGGGAAAAGAGAGGTATTTTTCATGTTGGTGTGTGTTTTCCATATTTTAGTGTGATCAAGTACTGATTCCTGTTTATGGTCAGACTTCCCCGTGACTTCACAGAAATAGGATTTCTTGTATCATACCCTAGTCTTTACTACTCTTGTCTACCACCGGGAACTTTTTCCGCCTGTTTATACTTCAAATCAGGTGGGTTTTTTCTCCCTTAAAGATAAAATCCTCCATTTGTAAAAGTAGAGTTGTTGTGAAGATTCCGATGTCAGAGGATTAAAGCTGAGGAAATACTGAGTGGAATAAACAAGGGTTTTGTACAAACTTACCAAATCTTAAAAACATATAATAATACCCACCACTCCCCCAAATTAGGAAACTATAAATGGGATTTCCTATAAACAATTGGTTTTGAAGTTTTGCCTTATGGTGGTTCTAACAGCTTTGTCAAGAGTAGATTTTTACCGTCTGCAATTAGCCCTTCCAGTTTAATTCAGAAGTGCCAGCCTCAAATAAAGATGTTATGGAACCTTGGATACCTCTGCAAGTCAAGGAGAAAACTTTTATCAAATCATAAAACCTTTAAAATGAAATACAATGTCTTTTTAAATCTACTCTACAAAGAATCCTAACTGAACATCCGAGTTGGGTCTTAGAGTAGCTGAAGATCCTACTGTTTTGTTACTGTTTGCCTAACACGGGTTTCTCATAAGCCTCAGGTATCCCCCTGCCATGGTTACAGAGTGACTCTAGTGTCATTCAGATTCCTGTGCACTTGAAGACAGAATCTGAGAATCTGTCTGTCTTCTGCAGTATTTTGAAAAGATTAAGGACAAACTGTAGTATCTGATAGCCATTCTGCTGCCCTTTTAAAACTGCAAGAACAGCATTTGTATGTCTATATAAAAATTTTATATGGTGAGGGAAAGGAACCCAAGTATTAAAAAATAATGATTTGCTCAAGCAAATTAGTAACTCCTCATTTTTAAAAAAAGCCTTCCCCCCCTTTTTTTTTTACTCAGATTTTTATTATAGCTACTTATGCATCTACTCTGTATTAAGAATTAAAAGTTATTTTAGCAGCATAAACTACTGTTCAAGAAACAGTTGTTTTATGGTCACTGTAACTCCATGCAAGACTTACATTGGAAAAATGATTCCTTTTACTGTCAGTCTTATTGAACATCTGCAGTGTGCACAGAGACGTAACTGCATCCTACTGCACATGTATGCTATACAAACTGGCATATTTTAATGTTTTCCAGCAACAAAATATTTAACGTTTGTATTAGCCACAATGGAAAACAATAGCATATTTCCATTGCAGCTGCTGAAGACGGCTACATCAAATATTTTGGAATAATTAGATACATGTGACTTAAGAGCAGAAGCTGTGAGTATGTCTGGCTTCTACATAGTGTAACTTGTCAATAAATGAGTTACTTGATTTCAGAGTTCTGAGCTTTGATGTGAGGTGTGGGAGGGTTATGTGCGCGTGTTAAGATTTACGACAAACGTGGCTTTCTGAGAGGCTTGTTAACGTGGCTCCTGGGTTTCAAACTTGGTATTTCTTAAATCCACCCTTGATGTTTAAGTACGCAGAGGACTTGTTAATGGATGGTCACACAAATATACCATTTTTTGTCTAGCAGCCTAAATGGATCTTCAGGAACATTTCACACAATCATCTACTTACCAAATACAACTCTTCTTTTATTCTTCAAATGGTCAAAAAGTTGACCTTAGGTCAGTTCGACAGTCCTATGAATTGTTCTTGCCCTCATCTTTCTCATTTTCATCATAAAGTCCCACCATTTCTCCCTTTTTATAATGGCTCTGCTATTCTGTAGATTTGAATACAACATACGTGTATTTAAGTACTGTTCTAAGTAAGAAATCGCTCAAAATCTGTGCTTAGGGAAGGTTCCCTGTTACAGATCCAATGAAGAGAATTGACAACTGACACCAAATTCTGTCAGATTAACTCTTACAACATTGTGACTGCAGGTAGCATACTCATTAGTCTGATGAGAGTCTGTGTTAGTTAATAAAGAGACGAAAGAAATTATGAATGAAATACAGGATATGATGATCTATTTCTAGATCACTGGGTACTTCTGGAAGCAAAGAATAAACTTTGCATAGGTTTAGAAAGTTCAGTAACTCTTGTATCTGATAAATACTCGCTTCCACCAAGGAGTACTGGCAAGCGTTAAAATAGTTGACAGTTTTAGGTATGTCAGTACTTGATCCACTGATGTGTGAATTTTTGGTGGTTAGAAATAGCTTTGCTTTAACGATGTGGTCAGTGGTGCAATGAGTTCTTTTATTTTGAAGGTGGATTAGTTTGGGATAAATCTCAGTTAACTTTGAAGTTTTACTTCCATGAAATCCTTCACTGAACAGGTAAGTCCAGGGAAGCCTCCAGTGGATCTTTTTTTCTATCAAAATAATTGTGATAATAGACAGGGTGGATATAAAACTTGTCATTTTCTAGGTAGCAATTTTAGTTCTTTTTAAATTACGATCCTTCATGAAGTTCTAGACCTTTTAAAATAAGGTGCAAGATGTATGTCTACCTGAACTACATGCAACGATTGCCCTCTAGAGGACATTATGATTTTTTGTGGGGCTGTGGGAGGGAGGGTTATTTATTCTTCCTGACCTCATCTTCATTTTCTGTTTTTACACTGCATGTGTCCTAGGAGGATGAAATCCCCGGGGGAAAAAGGTACCAAAATACCCTGTACTCTGTTGGCCATCACTTGATCCACCTCCACACATCACACTGGTTTTAATTGGTATCCTGTAGCACAGAAACTAGAGGAACACTCGGACTGTATCTGCCTGTATCACAACCAGACCCATATGCTTCACCTCGCTGATTGCCACCCCATGATTAAGTGGCCAAGAAGTTCCCTTAAAGGCCTGCTCCCCCACCTTTACTATTCTTGTTCCTGTGTACCTTCACTCTATTCACACTGCAGCACAGAGTTTGCTGTGCTGTCTGCAAACCTGTCTCATACCTTGGTTTCCAGCACAGTTTTACCTGGCATTTACTGCTTCTTTGAAGTTATCAAAGAGCTAGCATGCAACAGCTGATGCCCCAGAATAGGATAAAGATGCACACGATAGCCAGATACAGACAAATACAGCAAAATGTAATTAAATACACCTTCCAGGCCACGAACATCCACTGAACTATTGAACTTCTAAGAAATCTTTTTGGCAGCGCAGGCACAAAAGGTTCAGTGTTAGCTCATGCTTGAGTCTTACCTGCTACCCAACCTTACCCGCTGCTGCCACTTGGTACACACAGAACGAGAAAGTTGCAGAACCTTCCCTGACCCAGTAGTTTCTTGCTGTGGCTCTCAACACAGTATCCCAGCTACTTTCATTATCGGGTCAGGAAGAAGAAATTCTGCCAAGCTCTGAATTTTCTTACTCATTCTGCTGACTTCATAATGGATCTCTTTCCTTTGTTTGCCTGTACTTTTTTTACTAGTGGGGGGTAAATGAGAAAATGGCAGATGTGTAGCCTCACCTTTAGCATCTGAGATGATTCTAGAAACTGATGAAATGTAGAAAAATCACCAAAGAATGCTCTTTCTGTGGGGATGCCCGATCACGTCACACTGATTATTACTTTTAAACAGGGTCAGGGGGGAGAGTTCCTGGCAGGGCAGAAAGCTTGATCAAATGAACTCCATAATCTAGTAATGTTGGCAAGACAAGTCATAGTTAAAAGGGTTTAGATGAAGCGAAAAAAATTGTAAAAGTCATTTTAAGATACATGTCTATACTTGTATAACCCAGCCTCTTCCCTCCCAGTTGCCTGATTTTAAAAAGTTGCAATTCAAGAACATTTCAAAAACTCCCACATGATGTTAGTGTGTACTGTAGAATTAATTTGACAATAATCATATTGTGCATAAATAAATTAATTTATTTTTCATTATCAGGGTAGGGAAAATAGACAGGGAAGTGAAAATTGTGTGGTGACTTGCAGGATGCTTGCATTGCTGAATTTCCATGTAATCAGATTTCACAACAAATCATGGTAAAATTGTAACTGTGATTTGGTTTTAATACACTCTGAACTCTCAGCCTCGTTTTACACTGAAGGAGTAGAAGGTTCATATGTGAAATACATCTTAGAATGACTTTATCAAGCAACTGTATATCAATCTTACTTGGCTTGCAGGGGTCACTTTCCCTTTTATTCAGTGCAAGTAATAGCTTCTACATTTTAGAAGGCCCTTCAGCGTGGCCATTTTAATTCAGGCAGTGTGAAATTCTGCTGCGATTATCTTGCCTACAAAAGCTACGTGTGTGTATCAGAAGGGAGTTCTCCAAATCCGAGTTTGTGCTCTTCATTCAGAGGTGTGGTTGTTCTGCAATTCAGTCAAGCTCTTACATTCTAATTGTGTCTGTTTGCTGAGGAAATCAATCTGCTGACAGCTTTATGGTCATAAAGTCACAGAGAAAGCCACTGCCTAGCTCTTAGGGACTTTTCAGTGTTGCTTAATACCACCAAAAGCTGTTTGGCCTGAATATAAATCTGTATCTTTAAAACTGTCCATACTAACTGGTATGCTGAAAATAAGATTAAATCTATGTAGCCAGTTCATCGGAAAAGTTAATCATGAAGCTGAATTTTACCACGTTACAACAGTAGTTTTAGCTGTATATTTTGAGTTCTTCTTCTACACACTGTGAAAAAAGGGTCACCACTTGGTTAATGTCAGGACATCCGTTTTGCAGGATTGACTCCATTTCACTTATCTTCTGCTTCTCCAACGCCTGTATCTCTTTCAGCATCTCTTTACCTTTGCCCTGCAAAAAGAAACATCTGTATTTCACCAAAAGCTATACTGAGTATGTAGTGTTCACCCTAACAAAATTCTGTTCTACCGTTCTTATTTTAACCTCTTAATAGCTTCTAGGGTACAAGCTTGCTTTGGCCGAAGTTAGCACCGTGACAGGTTCTCTCTGACACTTTCCCTAACACCTAGCACTCACTCAATCCCCCTGCATCCCTGTCTGAAGGATTGAAAATATACAAAACTAAAGCTGCTGTAGGCATTTATGCTTCCAAAACTTAAGCGGGCATGTGTCTTATTTTCTAGAACATGTATCTGTAAATAGGAGGGATGCTGCTGTTAAAAGTAAGCCACTACCTCCCTGCTTCACCTTTTTGTCCAGCTACCTTTGTGATCTCGTTTCCTTTCCTGTCCGTACCCAGCAAGGGTGGAAGGCCTGCCGTCCTCATGGCCAGAGACCAGGGTCCTGCAGAGCTCCAAGTACTCTTTGCGGGAGCTGTGTATTTGCCTGTGGCTGCTCAAGCATCTCCCTTACCTGACCAGAGCAGGAGTACGTGTGGCCTGCCGCTCCACAAGATAAGCGGTACAGACACCAGTGTGGGGTTAGGCCTGGGGGTACAGCAAAGTGCTACTTGCGATTTTTAAGTGTTTGAAACATGTGCCTTCAAGATGCTGTGACGATGGGCTTCTGGTGCACCAGTGTGTTCTCCACAGCCCATCAAAGGGCAGTAAGTGGTATCACCTTAACAAAACGTGAGCAAGGAGTTTTTATAAACCACCTGCTTGCACTGAAATCTGATTTAATCAACGTACCTCGATAGTTTCCATAGCTACAGCAGCACTTTCATGTTTTTTATAGAGCTCATGTCTTCGATCTGGCTTATGCTGAAAACGTGGTTGCTTCTTAACTGGATCGTTAGGCCCAAATGTAGGGGAGCTAGTTTTTAATAACTGAGTGATATTGGGCGCAAAAATGAAGGGCTTGAATACAGACCTGGAAAGAGAAAACAGAACAGAGATCCTTTACTGATACAGTTTTGTTAAAGCGGCTGCGTAAGATTGCTGCATTTTTTCTCCATTCTTCTAATTCCCTCTTTTAAGAAAGAAAAGAAGTCTTAAAAAAAATTAAAGTCTCCTAAGCGGGTGGTAGCAGTGTTCCACTAAGTAGGTTGGTAGAGAGCATTAGTCTACATAATGTACATTATGTTCCTTCTACTTTCTGATAGTGCTTTTTCAGGAGGAAAAAAAAAAAAAGGGAAAAAAGCAAATTGCAACACTTTTCATTTAGGCATTTCCAACTTTCTATCCTAATGGCTTGCTGCAACATCACCTCGCCGGGTCTGGAGTTGCGGTGAAGAAGTGAATACACGGCAGATTGGGCTGCTGCGGCAGTACAGACACCATGCTTCCAGTTGTCATAAATCCGCCTTCCATATTAATGCCACTCTCTTTGTCACGAAGAATTTCCATCATTATTTCAGAAGTGATCGACCCTATTTAAGACAGAATGCAATTATTTACCTGCAGTGCTACGTATAGCAGTACCAAGTAAATGGCATGTTCTCTACACCTGGCTGCTTCTCCCTCTGACAGGCAGAAAAAAATACATCATCCTAACAGCACATCTTAATATGAAATACACGTTAAAATATTATTGTTTTCCCCAAAGTTTTTCTTTGACAGAGTAGGTGATAATGAGCTGTAACATTTATGATTTAAAAAAGGGAGGGAAAATGACACACAATGTTTCCCAGAAAGGTAAAACATATATGGCCTGCAAATGGTCATTCACACAGTAACTTTTCAGATGAAAATTCGTAGCCTGGATTAAAGGCTGAACTTTCTGAGCACTGTGTAGAAGTTAAGGTAAATCACTATAATAGGTATTGGTAGTTGTAACGGTTAATAACACTAGCTTGCTTTGGAAATGTAAAAATAGTAACAACTGTGTGTGGATTTTGTGTGTAGCTTTGAAAATGACACACCAAGACTCTCGCTTCTTTTGTTTATTTTCATCATCTGACCTTCCAAAGCGCTTAGGCTTCAGGTTGACAACTGAAAGGATGCGCTAGAGTAACAACATGTTCTACACTCGGACTCAACGGAACCTGCGATAGTACACCCAGTTGTAAAGAAGGTTTAAACCGACGTGAGGTATAGTGCCAAATGTCTCTATGAAAGTAATTCTTTCCTCTCAGGTGAACCAAAACCCTGACCACACCTGCCTCTGCATGTGGTGTTCAGTGATACTGCTGCTCATGTAGTGGTCACTGAAGCTTAAATACAGGCATGGTATCACCGGGCAGAACTCTCACAGGCAGCACCTGCAGTCGTTTTCGTTTCACATCTGGAGTGCCAGTTAGATTTGGAGTGCCAGTAAGCGGTTTTTTTACTTGAAGGTATCATCTACCATTTAATCCTTCATTGTTTCCCTCACTGAAGCTCTAGCTGCACATGAAGATTTCCTTTTTATCTGCCTTGCTCTTTCCTCTCAAAATAATCCCTCTGCTGCTAATTCAGATGTCTCCAATATTATTTTTTTTATCCATGATTCAAATTGCCCGTAGATAGGCAGGCAGCACTACATTCCAGCAAGGAAACACTCTCAGGTATTCCCACAGTTGCCTGGGAAAGTCAGAGAATTCAAGAAATCAGCAAGCTCGATGAATCAAAGAAATTAAAAGAAGGCAACAGTGGGTTTGTCAGCTGCAAGCTGGCAACTTGTCCAGCAGGAAAGCAAGCACTGTATATTTTCCACTAGACTTTTTTTATTCTGTGTTCCTGAAATGCATCCAATGTTTTTTTTGAAATATAAATAATGATTATCTGAAAAATGGTCTTCACATGGTAGGCAGCCTGGAAAAAAACTCTAATGCCACTGAGTGAAAAAATTGGGAAGGGTAGATTAAGGAACCAGTGATTTTACTGAAGCTGTAAACCAAATAGCTTTTAGTTAGGGCACCTATTTAAAATAAATCTAAAGAAACTGAAACCATATGAGGCTGATAACCTGAACACCTAGTGTGATTTTTAAAATGGCTCAGGTAAATGCCTGAAAATGGGGATTTAGAGCGAAAACACTGATAGAATCTCAGCATTGTTATAATGCAAGTAAATACAGGTATTATGAAAATGCTTTCAGTATTCAGAACCTGCAATTCCCCAAATGAATGCAGGATTTACATGATCACTAGAGCAGGATAGGAAAAGGTAATTCATTCTGATGCATCACCTACATGCTGAACCTGGCCTGGCAGAGCTCAGCCAAACAAATAAAAAAACCAACACGGGTGCAATGTAATTTTGGTTCACATTAATTACTTTGAGTCAGCAAGAGAATACAGATGTAGCAAAAACCTGCCAGGTGGATTCAGTTAAAAGAGAAGTAATAGCTTCTTTCTATAGAGGTCTGCAAAAGAAGTAAGTTAGTGATGAGGAGCATCTGCTAAGGGTACAGAAAATTCTTTTATTCTGCTCCCAGTGTGTTTTCTTAGACCACACAAGGTGAAAGTAGCAGTTACAGTGAAACTACAAAGATTTAAAAACCAATCTCAAAAAATGAATGCAAGGTGTGTATATGAATGCTGTGCTGTTGCCTTAAGCCTACAGGAACGGTACCAGACTGAAGTTGTCCATAAGGTTCTGTCTGGCTGTGTGCTGGTTTTAGCTGCAAACCAGGCTGCAAACCACTGGGAGTCTGTTTTGGCCTCTGATTTTTTTTTCTGAAGAGGTACAGTAACAATACATAGCCTATCAAAACATTTCAGAGGTAGGTCTTACAGAACATGTAGCAGTACGGCCATAATGTGACCTCTCAGTGTTGTTACTGGAGCAGTGTGTATTTGACATTTGACCCTTGGTATAATTTTCCCCATCAACAAATTGGCAAAAACAGATAAAAATTATACCTTTGTGTTTGTTCAGAAGTTTATAGCCTTCACAATATCGGCCTCTGGATGTGGTCATTCTGGCAGTATTTATGTAAGAGTATGTGGCGGCGAAATCAAATTCCTTTTCCCCATCCCACCAGCCCTTGCTTTTGGCATATTCCTTCAGTTCTGGGTGTTCTCTGTCAATCTTGGTTGTGATAGAGAGCTGGTTGGAAATATTCCGTACACCTCCTGTTTGCAAGGCGAGGAAAGCATCATTTTAATAGACTGTCAACAAAATACCAGGCAAAAGCATCCAGTTACCTTACTGAAGCAAATTATGCAGTGAAGAGTTTCCTACAAGATCCACAAGTCCTACAAGATCCACAAGGTTTATGTTTGGCCCTCTCCCTGGCTCTGTGTGTACTTCTGATTGAAATTCCGCTGCCGCTCAGTTCTGACTCGTACTTCAACTGCCGACATCGCACGTCAGGTTCTGCCCTGATTATTCCCATCTTTACATTCTTCCTCCCAGACCTCCAAAGGCACAGCTTGCCCTTCTAGGGTCACTGGAGGGATCAGCTACTTCAGGGCCCACTGCACAGATCCTGCCAGTATTACCCCGTCACCAAGTGAAACTGTCGCCGGTTGCCACCATCCTTAAGACCACACATACTGCTGTCATCCTCATGCTGACCTGGCTGTCCTCTGTTTTCCAAGGGCAGTAGTGGTCATCTCTGACCCTGAAAAAGCCCCCCGTGGCTCAGCTCCTCTGTGACACTGCTAGCCTCTCCACGCTCACGCCTGAGGAAGCAACTCCGGTGGTTTACAGGCACATGTACGTGTGTGGAGGCTAGTTTGATGTCCTGATGAAATGGTAAATGAAAAGTGGAGAACTGCTAATTGTCAATGCATCTAAAACATTTAAAGCGAAGAGCATCACCCATACCTTCTACTTTTTCTGCTGCCCAGTATTTTCCTGATGTCTCCAGCACCCATGCTTCCTTTCTGTCGGCTATCAGAAAACTGTTGTGGTATGTAAACGCCATGTGGCTCTCCATACAGTTTCCTCCCTGGCCATATTTTTCTAGCAAATCAACTATGACGGTAAGAGCCTTTTCCGCTGTGTCTGCTCTCTCGAGTCCAAGCCTGAAACAAAAGGAAGATGTGATTTTTGGAACGATAAACTTTACATACAACTATTCAGCCTCTGTATTCAAATGAGTGGAATGCTAGTTCTGTATGTATCTCATGCTCCTATAATCCGGTAAGAGAAAGGAGCAAGTAATTTAAAAGGCTTGTTTGAAATAGGTCGTCTATGTCCTGAATGTGGGGAAAATCAACCAAATGGGAATAGGGAAAGGCAGGAGGAGGGCTCCTAGGAAATGCCTCCGAGTCCTGCGTGGGTATTGGGCTGGGGGCAACAGTACCAAGAACTGAGTGCTGTAGGCTAACAAGAGGCACCCAGTAAGGCAGGCAAGAGAGGATTTAGTGGAGACGCATGGTGCTTAGCTGCTGACTGGGGCTAAACCACGACAGTGGCTAAGGCTGGAACTCAAAATTATGTGTGTAAGGGTGGGGGCAATGAGAACAGACCCTAGAAAAAGGTCCAAATGCTAGTTCCTGAAGTCCAGCTGTGCTCTAGTTAAGCGTCTTGTTTCAGTTTAGTATAAACTCGAGAGAGAGAAAAGCGTTTGAGGATTTCTGTGGCAGATTCTGCCCCAGCACCTGATAGCTCTCATGGGCTCCCAGCTCCTGGCAGAAATCCAACGCCTCTGCCAAGAAACGCTTATTTTTACCCACTGCTAGAACAGCTGAGACGCGCCTTCCGAACGCAAAGGTGCGTATTCCCCCCGTAACTCAAACCAAATGCTTTGAGGCGAGATTCTGAGACCAGCGCCGTTTACCAGAAGCGCCCGTGCGCACCTCACGAGGTCCATGCCCAGAAGAGCTTCGTCGTCGCCGATCTCCTCTCTGCCCCACACCGCTTCGTTCCCGATGCAGACGCCGTGCTCGTTGGCCCCCATCTCCGCCCCCCAGAGCCACGGGGGGCGGCTCAGCACCACGGCGTGGGTCTGCGCCACTTGCTCGATCTGGATGTAGGTGCACTGCAAGAAGCCCGAGCACAGCGCAAATTACCATCGCTTCGGCGAGCTCCTCCCCCGGC